ATGAAGACATGATTGCTAATCACAACGCACAATGTATCCATGGTCATTTCGCTGCATCTGTACACGTGCATACTGCAGTCAAAGTCATTTTATATAGTCAGTGAGATAACTATGGTAGTTATCTCATTGACTATATAAAATGTCTATCAAGTTTAATCAGAACGAGTGGATAAAATGGAGGCAGTGGGCGAAGGGAAGGGACGAAAAAGGTCAATTCTGGAAGTTTCGGTGACCTTTTGTTACGTGGCGTTTGTCACGCTATGTTGCGTCACCACGATACGACTGAGGTCATGGTTCGGGTCATCACGTCGGTTTGGTTGGGCCCAAGGCATCTGAAGTGCGGCAATCATCTTCCTCTGTTTGCAAAGTGGTGGGTGGTGTGCAGTAAACAAACAAAAAAATATTGTTACTCCTCGAAGTTGTCTGTTTTATTTTCCCCGATTTTGTACCTTTATTTTTTCGTTCACCCATGGTTATCTTTGGCACCGTATCTGCAACGATTGGTGTAAATAATAAATAAATAATTGCTACAGCTTCCGCTGTTGCCAAGTGACGTTTCCGAACTTGCTTCGATTTGTTTTGGGGTACTTTGTAGATGACTTTGAATGCATCGTTGTCTGGCTGATGCCCGGTATCAGCGAGGTGGTCCATAATCGCACTGGTTATTGTTTTCTTGCAATTCGTTCTCAGCCAAGCCGGTTTTATGTTCTCTGATCCTTTGGGAGAGCTGCCTCATTGTTCGTCCTACATAACTTGCTGAACATGTGCAAGTGAAAGAATAAGTAATCACGGATGAGGAGAGGATGGACAGGTTATTTTTGAGGTTTGTGCAGAGGTGAGGCCGGCTAGTAAACATCAAACGTAGAGTGGCGGCTGGAAATGTTCGTGTAATAGCTTTCTCCAGACGTCTTCTTAGTATATCACCATTCGAATCTCCTTTGAACGGGAGCTGCAAGAATAGTGCTTTCTTTTTGGCCGTGCTTGGTTTAGGCATTGTGGGCTTTTACACGAGGTTCTTTTCGATGAACCGCTCCGGCTATCCGTTATTAACGAGTGTGGATTTGATAAATCTAAGTTCTTCCTCCACTAGATCCTTGGAGCAAGTTAATCGAGTTCTGAAGGTCAGACTAAGTTTCGTTTAAATTTGATTGGGACGAAACTTTGAAAAGGAGTGTTTTGGCCGTTCCATGTTGGCTTTCGAACAATAGAACGTAATAACTTTCCACTGGGCCCCGTCTTCAGTTTGACGTCGAGGAAGTGGAACGTATCCTCATTTTCTGTTTCCATCGTAAATTCGATTGACGAATGAGCTCGGTTAAAACGATCCAATATTATGTTCGGTAAAATACGTTTGTCGGAAAGGATAAAATATCGTGTGGGAGTTGATGTATGATGTCTCATAGTTCGTTGTTTTCCAGTTTGGCTACGAAAAAATCTGCAACGGAGTTCGCCAAGTGGCTACACCGTCCGTCTATCTGTAGAGTTTTCCATTAAAAGAAAATTGGATAATATATGTACATCGTAATAATAGTTCCTTCAAATTTGTAGTTGGGATTCCAATTTGTATGCTTTCCTCATCAATGTACTAGCAAAGGTAAGACACCGTCTCGAATAGTGGCACATTTGTAAAAAGTGATTGTATGTCCAATTGTCAAATCTTTGACGTCCAAGTCCCGAATTCGGTCGACAAATTCTTTCAGGCTATGCTTTCAGATTTTCTTCCTGATGGGATCCAGGATTTTTACTAGCTATCGAGCAATTGAATGAAAAGGCGAGTTACGCATATCGGGAACTGGCCTTTATGGCGTTCCAGCTTTTTGAACTTTGGTAGGTCATTTAGTCTGGGGATATGAGTCCCAATTGGTATTAGTTCTTCGTAATCAGTTCTCGATATGTAATTTTGATCTTTCAGCTGTTTGAGGCAATTGATCGGTTGTCCTTCCGCTGCTATTGACATAACCCTCCCCTTTTTGTCCTTCATGAACTTGGTACTGTCGTTCAGAATTGTCATCATTTTGTTTATGTAATTTTTACGATCCAATAGTACTACTGCTCCACCTTTTTCGGGTTTCGATGTTACGATTTCTGTATTCAGTTTCCGCTCACGAAGTGCTTTGACATATTTTTGACTGAGTAAACATCCACATGGTACTTTCGTGCGACGATATTGAAAACAGGCATCAACAAGGGTGGATTTGAAATCATCGACTGCTTTCTGTGTTGTAGGAGTTAAGCCTTCTGTCTGTGAGTATAAGTTCTCAAATTGAACTTCTATCGAAAGCTGATTATCTCTGGATTTCGGGTAGCAGAATTTCGTAACGAGCGGTATGATCCTCCAGTAGCGTATTACCTATGGGTAGACTCGATAGATTGTGGACGTATCGCTCCGGATTTTGGGGGAACTTTGATCTCGCTTTCTGATCATTGATTGTATTATTCAATTTACAAAGTTTATTTTCGACCCTTTTCCTGATAATATCCAAGGAAAATTGTTTGAATCGTTTGCGTTCTTCAGTGTTTAATAATTCACATTTGGACTCGTGTTTTTCTACGTTTTCTTTTAATGACACGGCACATGATCTGATGGTATCAATCCCACTTCGGGCATGGCGCTTTAGGGAAACCGCATCTGACCTGATACGAGCATGTCGGAGCACTTTCTAATAGGTCTTCGGATACTGGTTCTGTTCAATGCATTGATGAAGAAATTCAATCTTCGTGTTCGCTTCTGCAAGCCTGGTTCTAAAGCTCAAATAACTATTGAGTTTCTTCAGCACCAGGGGATATTTACGTTCTCTTAATTCACGAAAGATTCCCACAGGAATATCAAAAGCCTCAAAACCCTCAGGGCTCTTGCTGCAATGGGTACGATTCATTTTCTCCCCGTAATCAACTCGCAAAGATCGCTTCCATTTGATTTTATAGGGGGACAAAGTAAACCAGTTACCCGATGACTGTG